CGCGCGAGCATTCCCGCCGCGCGAATTATCATTTTTCCGTGTGGACGTTCACCGTGCGGACCGTCTCGAAACATCGAGAGAGAAAGAACCGTTTGCATTTTTGCCCGGGAAACGTCGTAAATCCGATGCCACGACTTAACAACGTCGGAACGGCGAGAGTCGACTACACTATCGCGGAATATTTTTCTTCTGCTTCTTTTCCTCTCTCTTTCTCTCTTACTCGCTTCCATTTGCTTCCATCCTATCATGCCTCGTACTCTCCTCTCTTTTTCTCCTGTTCTCTCTCTCTCTCCATCTCGTCACGAAAAAATTCTAGCATCTATTCTCCGCTCACGTAGAACGTGACGAGAGGAGAGGAGAGGAGAGGAGAGATCCCCCTCCTCCCGTCAACTCTCCACCGCAGCCCGAAGGCCTTCACCCGTTGTTTCGGCCCGACACAAGAAGAGACGAGGAGATCCTCTCGTAATTGTAAACATTGGATTAATGCAAATGCGCGCTTAAAAGCTTAATTGCTTTTGATAAAGTATGGCGGTGCATTAAATTCAAATGCATGTAAATTAATTCAAATTTATGAGAAATAGGTGGACGCGGAGCACTTACAGGAAAAGAGGGAAAATAAAAATTAGTCCCCGCGGGGCCGGCCCCCGCGACGAGACTCTTTTTTTCATTCTATCCCTCACCTCTTATCCTCCCTTCCCTCGCGCCCTCGTGTCTGTCTCTCTCTCTCTCTCTCTCTCTCTCACTCTCTCGCTCTATTGCTCTTCGACCGTGCCGTGCCTCCCTCCACCCCGAGGAACAGCCCCACCATTCCCTCTTTTTCACGAACGCGCCATGTTGCCAGCCAGATTGGCCTTTATGTGCAGGTTTCGCCAATAAATTCCACCTTCAGCCTCTCGTCCGATACACGTCGAATTTTAACGCACCGCAGGATCGTTGCCATGTTGATTAACGATGTCAAAATCAACCAACCGCGTGCCACCACTTTCGGAAACGCGCGCGGCCTTTTGACTGTCGTGCGCAAGCATCGCGGTCGTTAGCAATGGGGCACACACGGTTGAAAAGGAGAAAAAAATAGGGACGGGAGAGGCAACGACCGGTTCGCGCCTAAATTCGAATTAAGCGACTCGGGGCGGAGCGGCTATCGAATAAGCACTTTCGACGCCTTGGCCAACAATATGAATTTCGAAGGAAAGACGAAGAATAATTTAATTTATTTTTTATATAAATTTGCGTTGCTTCTTTTACCTGATGTACTTTATTCAGCTTCTTGTTAACTAATAATAATGGATAACTAATGTTACGCGTAAAATGTAAAATTACGTTTTCGTTAAAAAAAAAATGTGATATATCTCGTTAAATGAATTCAAATGCATTATGTATGCATGTAAGAAGGTTCATGATCCGTTCAAATAAATAATTAAATAAGAAATAAAAGGTATATGTGTAAGAAGTCGCAAACGAGAATTGTTAGATCTAAACGAGCATCGCGGAAGAAACGTAAAGTACTTACATACGTCGTTATGTACGCGGCACGGAACGGTGTCGTATATCAAACGCGCAAACGCAGCCAGCGTTCCTAAACAAGCCCCCCCCCCCCCTACTTATTTGCAGCGACCTCGCGACAGAAGCTCAAATGTATAATACCAGGTTCGTTATTCGTCGTTGACAGCGACGCGAAGTTTGCTGCGCGAGTTACGTGCGCACGCATCGACGCGATGCGCAACCGGTCGACAGTTGAAAAAAAAAACCGAGGAGTGGAAGTGCATTTTAACGCGATCAAACTTATCGACGCGCTTTGTGGGTGCACGGTAGGAGGATCCGAATATCGAGGATCCTCTGTGGAAGGAGAAAGCCTCCGAAAAGCCAGTGACAATGGGGAAATCTTTGGCGCTGCGCGCCACTTCAGCCCACTGATAGATGCGCGAGTTCCATAACGGCGATAATGGTTGCTGGCCCATCAATTCCGGACCGGGCTTGATTAGATAGGCGCGTTTTATTGCGGCAAAAACTCAACTCTCTCTCGCCCCGTCGAAAACCAAACCGTAGCGGACACCCTCTTTCTCTCTCTCTCTCCTCCCTGCCTCCTGCCCTCGTGCAGCCCACACGCACGCACCATCACCAACCATCGGCCAACCGACACACCGGTGACGTCGCACCGACTTTATCGTAAATAAAATGGAATAGCGAAATACGAGAGCGAGGCGATATTTGCCGGTGCACAAGCGGCAAATACTCTTTCTCACCGCGGGGGTCGTATAAACCAACCGGAAGTATTGTTCTGTCCATGAGGCAGGTCCGATCAACGGTCAAGTGCTCTGAAGTTGCGCGTTACGTGTGTTGTATATTCCGTGTACGGGTCGAGGAGGAGGAGGACGCGAGGAAAGACAGACCGCAAATCCATTTTCGATAAAGCTAAAATAAGCAGATATAAATCGGAGGATATGGAGGGAGGGAGGGGAAGGTATGGGCGTGAATGGCATCGAATGAAAATCTATATTTTTCGGCGGAGCCGCCGTAGTGACAACTATTCCTGGAAATATAATACGCGATAAATAAATTGGACCGCGTCCACGAGAAAATGGAACGGGGATGAAATGTACGGATGACACGGTCGAAAAACACGCACGCCCGACATTTGCATTTTTCGTCGTCGTACGATTGACAGAACATCGTTACACGGATGGCTACGTTTTTCTTCGTAGAGATCGTAAATCCCGTTTTCGCATTTTTAGTTTAAACAAAAATACGTGGATATTTTTCCCTATTAATGTAAACATAGATACATTTTTATTCCAACTGGATTTTTTAACGATTGCTATTTTTTTATAACCCGATTAGAATCATTTAGAATATCCAATTTTTTTTTTTAATTTGTTCGTATTAATATTCGTATTAATATTTTCTGAAATCAGTTTAGTTTAATGAATTTTTATTTTTTTATTTTTTTTGTTATTTCTCGCATTTTCTTCGATTTTTATCAATACACGAAACATGTAAAGTTACACGAAATTTCCACGTCAAAATAAACATTACGGAAGAGAAACACGTTTAAGGCTTATCGTTGGATCGGGGAGATCGTATATCATAAACAAAACAAACGTTTCGTTCATCGCCGATTATCCGTGACTACGCAACTAATAATCGTGGTCGTCCAATTTTATTAACGTACAACTAAGATCAGTTTAATTCGCGCTACCGTTCGAGCGTCAATAACATCGCCGGTTATCTTAATGCATTAAGATTACGCGTGAAAGGCGGTGCTCGGTATTCGTAGTAGCGTCGAGGATAAGCAGCGAGTATAAACACGGGGATGCGCGTGCCATTCGCCATCGCGTTCGCGCGTAATTTGTAAAACTGAGCAAATTGCACCGGAACGATTTTATCTACCCGTTCAAAGATGAATCGATTCGAACGCGACACGCGAGCACGAAGATGTTTTTTTCTTTAAAGGACAAAAATGGAAATAGAGGAAATTGGAAATCGTAGAACAAACCCCTGTTTGAATTCAAAATTACGTTTGTCAACACGTGATCCCGTTTTATATTGCAATATTATACCGAATATTTCGAAGGAAATCAAATATCTTTACCGATATTTTTGGTAACATATTCTGAACGAAATTCTGCTCTAAATTTAGCCTTCATATATTTACTTTTCTTGTGTAAATACAATGTATTTTTACTGCTACTTCTAATATGTTTTACATATATTTTGGAATACACGTATTAATATAAAATGAGAGAGAAATTGTTTTATTCAAATCATTACTTACATATTGACAAATGTTGTCTATCTTAGAATTTAATTTTTGAAGTAAATTAAAATCTACTATATAATATATATGATTTTTTTCGTTTAAAACGATCTATATCGCTAAATTTACTTGGTTTTTCTTAACATCCTTTATATCTTGCAGACAACTCAATCGCTCGACTAAATAATTTTTCCGACCCACGATTTATCGAAGCGAGATCCTGTCTGTGCGAGAAAGTTAAGCTAAGTTTACCTTCGTTAAAGTTTGCCATCGCTGAAGTTTGCCCGCGAAAGATCGTAAAGCAAGAAAATTGTCTAGGAGAAAAGAAGGCATATAAAGAGAGAGAGGCGATGTAAAAAGTTGTTACGCATATCGCGCGTTTACGACTTATCTACAATTTCGCTCTTCTCGTTACAGTAACATCTTATGTTATAATCGGAGGGCGAAGGATATAGTAGGATCGCTCAAGGACGATCGGTACATTTATAGATTGATAATAGTAACATGCACGTGCTACTAGCGCATAAAGGTCGACGCGCAGGTAGTCATTAGACCGCCCCACGCCCAATACATTAAGTCGTTATGAAGATATCTTTAGCCTTTTCTCACCGACAGTAGGGTCTCTAAACACGTTCAGCCTCACTGGAATAATAGCCGGTATATAGCTACGTTATCTTCGAAGCAAACAAGGTGTTTTTATTCTTTTCGTTTCTTTTTCTTCCGCTCTAACTTTTTTTTTTTCCTTTGTTCCCCCTCTCTTTTTTTCTCTCTAACTCGATCGCTCGCTCTCGTTATTATCGTTTAAACGAACTTCATTCGATACGAACAAAGATGGGTATACGATATCACTTTCGCGATGTTGTTTCAAAGTATATACACTTAGGAACGTTAAAAATTATCGCGGAAGGAAATCGGATCACCTGTGGGTAATCGGTTTCTATTCATAGAACGAACCATCATCCTTTTTACTTGTGCCTCGAAGCTTCGGTTTAGTATGCACCATTATCCCGGTTA